ACATGGTTGGAATGGGGGAAAGGGGGGAATAATGATAAGATGCTTGGCTGTCTTTTGAATCTTGGTTTTCCTTGCATTATATTATAAAATAGACACTGGAGGGGGAGACAAAGGAATAGCCAGAAACATAACCATAGAAAGTTTGTAAGTCCGTTTTCTGCCTATAACTGATTGGAATACCTAAAATGGGGCTACAACGTGCCCAGTGAAGGAGGCTTCCTATGGAGCCTCTGCAATACAAAAGACTATAGGTGGAAGCCTGGACCACATCCAGATCTCCAGAGATGGGAAATTTCCACTTGAAAGGACGAGCAGACTAGCCTGGAGTGGCTAGAAGAGAAGATATTTCTTGAAAGAAAGACCTACAAGAGAAATATAGGCAGACCGACGATTACAACAAGAACAAGCAAGTTGCTTGCCCAGGAAACATCAAAGCAAGTGATCGGGTCCCCTCAGTGCAAACTCCCTTCCAAGACTAAGACTCAATGAGAATACACTCTCTGATTGGTGACCACGCTCATCACCGATAAGGGGAAGTGAGGGAAAAACAGCAATGAAGCTGCGAGCTAAGCCCTACAATGTTCAATAGACTTCTGTGAACCCAGGTGATGTGGAAAGATGGAGCAGCTGGGGACTTTAGACCCGGAGAGGGGCTGTGGGCTGAGAACCGAGGGGGCAAGCTTGCAGGGTATATATACCCTTTGCTTGGTTGATGATGCATGGAGGGGATTGTATACTATAGGATGAATGTAAAACTAATGTTCTCCTATGTAAATTATCACATAATTCACAATAAAACATTAAAAAAAAGAAAAAAGGATGGCTCAACCGTTCACTGATGGGGAGGAAAGTGGAGACACTCAGGGTGAGTGTGGCGGAGCATTTGCAGGGTATAGTTGTAGTGGAGAGAAGGCTTGGAAATACACTTTCAAAAGTGGAAAACAAGTAGATTTAGATAATAGATTGATAAAGATAATAGAGTGGGACATAGAATATTTCAGAAGAAGGGGTTCTGATGAAAATGGAAACCACTTCAATGAAACGAGATTACAGCAGAAAAGACTGAGGTTAGCTTGAAAAGAGTGAAGTTTTACCTTGAGATTAGTGGTTGTGATCTCACTTGGCCCAGGAATCTTTTAAGAGGTAAGGATTATGTTAGTGTGTCTAGGTTGCGATTGAAATTCTGATACACTAAGTCTAGAAATCCAAAATCTCTGATGTATGAAGCTTGAAAGGCAAGCTGCTCTCCTTGGTACACTGCTGAGAGGTGATGCATTAGAGTGGTGGATGTGTGAACTCAGGAGCCAGCTGCCTGGTCTGAACCCTGGCTTTGCAACATACCAGCTGCATTGCCCTGTGCAAGTTACTCAATCGCTCTGCAGTTCAATTTTCTCTGCTGTAAAATGGGGCTAATAATACCTACCTCAAAGAGTTGTTGTAAGGATTAAATCAGCCAATTTGTAAAGAATTTAGCACAATGCCCAGGGCACAGCGAACACTAGGTTTGGGTGACCAAAGTCAATGACAGGATATGATCTGGAATCATGAAACTGATTTCTGGAAAGTGACTGATCCCCACCAGTCCCAAGATCAGTTGTTGATTCAGGGAAGACGCAGTTGCCAGCAGCCAGTGATGCGGGGTGAAGTGGGGGGGCGGTTGAAGGGTTGGCTGGGGTGGTGGCTGGGAAATGGTCTGAAGAGAGTGAGCAGTCTCATTGCTCAATCCGCCAGTGGGGCTCATACTTCCTGTTTTCAGTGTCTCTGGAGCAGCTCAAGTTTGAACACGATCTTTCTTAGCCCCTGGGGGAGAATGCAGAAGCTAAGCAGCCACTCAGCCTGGGCTGGGTCCCTTAGCTTTTTATCATGGCATTTCTTTAATAGCAAGTTCTGGCTTCCATAAAGCACTAAGAGTAGAGGGAAGGGGGTTCTCAATTCTACAAGAATTTATAGCACTGTGTGGTGCCACAGGGTAAGCACTCAACCTCAATCAGTTTAAACTGCAAGGTCAGTGGTTCAAACTCAACAGCCACTCCTTGGAAACCCTATACAGGATCGCTGTGAGTCAGAACCAACTCAATGGCACTTAACAACAACCTCATAACAGCCACCGTTTTTGTGTCTTTACTAGATGTCAGAAATATACTAAGAGACTTTTGAACTACCCTGGGAGGTAGTGCATCAATCTTTTTTTTTCAATAGATGAGAAAACTGAGACACAAAAAAGTCAAGAGTCATTCCTAAATCACACAGCTATTGTTAGAATCAGGATTCTAGTCCAGGTTGCCTAACTCCAAAATCCGTGCTCTGAACCACTGCATCGCACTAAGGCAATATACTAGGTTATTGTTGTTGTTGTTAGGTGCCCTCTAGCCAGTATTGACTCAGAGCAACTCTGTGTACAACAGAACGTAATACTGCCCAGTCCTGTGCAACCTCACAATCATTGCTATGTTTGAGCCTATTGCTTCTGCCACTGTGCCAATCCATTGCGTTGGCGGTCTTCCTCTTTTTCTAAAACCCTCCACTTTACCAAACATGATATCCTTCTCTAGGGACTGGTCCCTCATGATAATACATCCAAACATAATACATCTGAAACATACTAGGTTATAAAGATTTAAAAAGGTGAATACTCTCAAGGAACCCACAGTCTAAGAAACATTCTTACTAGGAAGCCCAGGAAGACCTTACATGTCCTGAACCCCACTCAGAAACAGTGGTTGTTCATACACAAAATTCATACTGACCATCTCTTGAATATTCTATGCCCTTCACATAGTCTGACCGCTGTCTCCAAAGTTTCTCAATCAGGGACTCATATCAGAGACACTTCGGGTGTATTTTAAAAATCATGAGCCCTCACTCCAGCCCTGATCTTCTGAATCATAATCTTTCCAAGTTGGAGAATGTTGTTATAAGTGCCATCGAGTCGTTTCTGAACCACTGCGACCCTGTATAGGGTTTCTGAGCACCGGCTGGTGAGCTTGAACCACTACCTTGTGATTCAAACCAACATTACAGTCAGCGCATCAATCCTCAGCACCACACCAGGACGCCACATTGGGGAATAGGAATGTTTATTTACTCTTTTTTTTTTTAAAGGGTTTTCAGGTGACTTGGTAAGGAACACTGCCAAAAACCATTAACACAACTTGGAAATTCCAACATTTTGGCATCTAAATATACCTCCCAACTTTTTATACACCTCAGTACTTCAGATCCTGATGTTTGGTTCAAAATAAAATCACCCAGCTTCAGACTCTGAGCCATGCTAGGGATTAAAAAAGATGAATATGCAGAATCTTACTCTCTGATACTAGGCCAAGCAATAGCTAGTCACGAACTCTGTTACCACACTGAGAACACTCAGCATCAGTTCTACAAACACATGATGGAAACTTTTGCTTCCCCCCGCCTCCCTTAATGCCACAGACGCACTCGAGCTGAACTCGAGTGGATTAGCAATTTTCACCCAGGCCTTTTGGATTAGCAATTTTCACCCAGGGCGTTACTCTCCCTGGTTAAGGTCAGTTCAAGAATTATGGGAGGCAGAATGAAAATGATATGGTTGGGCTAATGCAAGAGACCAGGTGTGGCGCTGTGGGTTAATGCGCCAAACTGCAAAGCCATTTGAACTGCAAGGTCGGCGGTTCAAGCTCACCAGCTGCTCCTCAGAAACCTGATACAGGGTCGCTGTGGGTCAGAAACGACTCAACGGCACTTCACAACAACAACAATGCAAAGAGGTCCACCATGTACAGCTGTACAAGATGCACACTGCACAAAAGAATCGGGTTAAGAAAGCAGTTTGTGGCTGCAAAACAAGCCTTGGGCTCCTATGTTGGGCCACCATTTTTTAACTTATCTGCTTTGGAGGTCCGGCTCTATAACTATCCTAGCCTCTACTTCCCGAAGCCCCACTAATTCCAGATATGCAATCCCACAAGAAATTCTGGGATGCATGCCTCCATCACCATTTTTTATTTTTTAACTTGTTTGTACTCCGTAACTGACTTCCACACAGGCGCTAGAGGAGAGTCAAAGTCTTCAGAAAAATCATTTTATTGATCATCTTTATTCAAAATTACAAAAAAAATCGATATAAATAAAAATCTCAGAATATAATTATTAAATATTCAGTGTATAGGAGTGGCCCTCAACTCACCCAGTGAGGATTCAGGGTACTAGACTGGAAAGTCAGATGGGGTAACTGGCCAAGAAAGGGACATACATCTACATGAAAGTAAAACTGAGACATTCAGTGCTGGTCATGGATTGTACCTCAGAATAATACATTCACAAGCATCATCACATGTGTGAGCCAAGAGGCCGAAGGAGTGACCCACCACTTGACCTCTCCAGACAGACCCACTCTGTGGTATCACTGTCCCCGTGGCTTGGAGAAATGCACTCAGAGACAGGGACACGCCAGCTCTTACTCACACTGACACTTAGATCCTGTGCACATGTGCTCAACCTACACACATAAAATTTCCTGACACGTTCTTGTAATGCCAGAACCCTTCCCTCAATTCATTACTGTCTCTACTCCCAAACCTGCTGTTCTGCATTGACCAATCCCCCTCAAGAGACCTCAGCTTTGCTACACTTCCTAATTGGGAAATTAGTCATTTCTCAAGAGTGTGTTTCATGAATGCCCACTGTTAAGGAAACTGGTTCTCTTTCCAGCCATATACAGGAGATGCCATTTTTAACTCCAGGAGATTTCAGTTCAAAGATAAACAACTGAGCAACACCATCCTGAATCAGGACTACCCCTCCACCCGGCCAGGGGAGCCTGGGTGACCAGCACCAGGCCTATATCTGACGGTAAAGCTCTTGTTGCTCACCCTAGTCGGTAGCACATGCAAAAACCATCTCTGCAGAACAAATTTTCCCCAGTCTCTTCATTATATCTGGTGGCAATGGCTCTACTGCAAAAATGATGCTCTGTGGAGGAGTGGGCAGTACTCATTTCCTCCCTCATCTCCCTGGGGTCCTCAGAGGATGAGACCATTCTCCTCTTCTCTGATGTGAGTGCGGATCCAGGGCAGGAATTCTGAGACCCTTGTATAGACCCCTGGCTTGTCCTTCAGGGCACACCCACGGCCCCAGCTCACAATCCCGGTCAGAGTCAGGTGGCCTTGAGTGGAGCAGACCAGAGGTCCACCCGAGTCTCCCTGTGAAGAAGTCAAGACACAGAAAAATGAGCTCTGGGAGTAGTGGGCAAACAGAAAGGGGACTATCTGACGCCAACACTCAGCCATGCCTGAGACAGACTTGGAATTTCTCGGAGTCTGAGTCCCTAGTGATTTCCCATATTCTACATCATGAAGTTTAAAACCCTCTGCTTGAGTGTCAAATGCAGCTACCTGCCAGCATTCCATCCCTGCTCCCAAATCCTACTTCTCCTACCCATCCTGGTATATGCCTGCTTATTCCTTCTTACCTCTGTATCTTTCACCTGAACTGCCCTCCATTCTTCTCTGGCTCCTCAAACCCTATTCAAGTCCATCCTCTTTAAAGCCGTCCTTCATTGCCCATCTAATCTTCACTCACCTCCCTCTCCCATGTTATTGTTGTTAAGGGCTGTGAAGTGGGTTCTGACCCATGGCGACCCTGTATACGGTTTCCAAGGAACAACTAGTAAGCTTGAACCACCAACCTTGCGATCCAAACTGACTTTGCAGTCCAGTGCATTAGCCCACAGCACCACACCAGAACTCCTCTACATTTGCTTAATTATAATTCATACCACACCATCCATATAGTCTTCTACTGTTTCCTCTTTCTATAGTCTTACTCCCCACCCCAATGTGAAGTGCTCAGATCAGAGCCAAGCTCAAGGGCAATTTTTATGCCCCCACAGTCCTGAGGTCTAGGTTCTGGCTTCTTGAAACTTTGGCTAGAAAGAGGCTCTCCCAAAGTTGTCAGGGACAGTCCCGAGCGGTTTAAGGGTGAGAGAAAGATTCACCTGGCAGGAATCTGTTTCCCACTGTGGGTCGGCAGCACACAGCATTTTGTAGGTGACTTCAGAGCCATAGTAGTGGGGCTGCTGACATTCCTGGTGGGAAACCAGCTTTACAACAGTCATTTTCAGCTGCTCCGGATAGAGATAGTCAGCTAGTTGGAGAAAAGAGGGAGGAGTTTGGGTAAGATGTGTCTGTCCAGCCTTCCCACAGGGACTCTGTGAAGGGACAAGAAGTGCCCCACACCACAAAAAGCCCTTAGCCTTTTTCCAGTCAACTTAAGTCTTCAGCTCACCTATGCCCAGCCCACCATCTGTTTACTTTCATGACTCGTCACTTGCTACTCCAACCCTAGAATACATACCCTAGTGCACCCATCTCTCTCTCCACAGTCCTCTCTTGATCAAGCTGGTCTCACAACCCAGTCACAACCCTCCCTCAGGAACCCCCTGTTGTCATTGTTAAGTGCCATTGAGTCAGTTCTGACTCATAGCAACCCAGTATAAGGTTTCCAAGAAGTGGCTCAGTATGAGGTTTCCACAACATCAGTAATGAGCCTTGCTAACCAACCTAGTGGTTAGCAGTCCAGTGATTATCCTATAGCACCATACCAGGACCCCAAAACCCCTTGTTGTTGTTGTTGTTGTTGTTAAGTGCCATAGAGTCAGTTCTGACCCATAGCGACCTTGTATAGGGTTTCCGGGGAGCAGCTGGTGAACTTGAACCGCCAACCTTGCAGCTCAAATGGCTTTGCAGTCTAGCGCATTAACCCACAGCGCCACACCAGGACTCCCCTTAGCCAGCCCTAAATGTCACTTACTAGAATTCTCTTTTCCAAAGCCAGTGATCTCACAGCTTGTACCAAAATGGGCATCCCCATACCGTCGGGGCAGGCAGATGGTTTGTATGGTCCGGGATGGCTCGGCACACTGACCCATTTTGGAACGGATCTTCAGCAAAGCTGTGGGGGGAGGCAGGTATGGGGTCAGAGAGGAAAGAAGACCACTTGGTCACGTGGTCACCATCTTTCTTCTCTAAAGGCTGAGTGAGTGCTATGTCTACCCCCTTGGTCAGCAGGGAGATGGGTTAAAGTCAGAGGTCATCCTGGGGCGTCTAATGGTAGCTCATCGCTTGGAACAAGCCTCCCTTACCCCATGCCTCAAGGACTTTCTCCCTGCTGACCAAGGTTTCGGCAGCCAGGGCCGCTATATACAGTTGTACACGTTTCCTACAACAACAAAAAAGATCCCATTAAGGCTGCAGGCCTGGAACCCTTGGTGTTCTACCGCCAAATTCTATATTCTTTTTATTTTTATTTTTAAGTTTTTATTATGAATTGAGTGACAGTTTACATGGGAGAAAATCGGATTTACCAAGTTCTATATTCTGATACAGAAAGAGGTTGTATCCAAAAAGAGGAAAGGGTGTCTTTTTAAAATGTTCACAAACAGGGCATTCTCAGTTCAAGTCATATGTCTATGGGATTGGGGATATTTCTACCTCTCCAGGAAATTCAGGACTTCTACAGAGGAGCTCTGGCAGCATAGTGGTTAGGAATCGGGCTGCTAATCTCACAGTCAGCAGTTTGAAATTACCAGTGGTTCTGTGGGAGAAAGACGCTTTCTGCTCCCATAAAGATTTACAGCCTTGGAAACCGTATGCAGGGTCACTGTGAGTCAGAACCGATTCCTAGGCACATCACTACCACCACCACATAAAAGTATCAAACTCTTCAGATGTTCTACTCCGAACCCTTTTGTTGGGTAAAGCAGATCTTCAAATTCCCCCACAAACTCAACCTTCCACTTGGGTTTCTTTCTGGGCCCCTTCACTAAATCATCATTACCTAGGTAGTAGGGTTTCCACTCACCAATATCATTGTGGTGAGCAAGTGTCTCTGCACTATAGTGCTCATGCAAAATTAGATTTTCCACTTCAAACTTCATCTCCCCAGGCATATTGGAATTAAGCCTCGACCGTCCCAGGTAGACTATGTAGTCCTCCTTTTTCTGGTAATTACTGTGAGAGATGGGACATGTGAAGACAGTTTGGTCTCATAAGATTCTGTCATTTCCCCCTTCCTACCACAGAAACCTCAGAGTATGACTTGTCTCAAAGGTCATGGTCTGCTGGAAAGGGGCTGAGGTGGGAGAATTGAGGTAGAATAATTTGCTGGCAAGGAGAAAGAGGTTTGTTTAGGGTCAGGCAAGATACAGAAGAACTTACATGAAGCAGTGTGTGGCGCTGACCACCCAGCAAGGACTGATTAGGCTTCCACCACACACGTAGGTAACTGAGCCTCCTCGGTGCTTCCTGTAGATGGCTGCAAACCACGGTTGGTTCTCGATGGTTGTGAATTCTCCCCCAATAATCTTAAAGCGGGGCCTTATAGCCTTCTGGCCACACTGAAACTCTGATTTTTTTGGAGGAGAATGGGGTTTTTTTCCTAGAGGAGAAAAAAGATGAATGTCTTGAGAAGGCAGTTGAATAAAGCATCCTTCTCCTTGCCCTCTGAACTCCCAGTTCTTCAGGATCAAGCAGGCCTCCTTCTTATCCTTCCTGTGATGGACTCAAGACATAAGGAGACACTGATCCCTCATCCCCACTGTCATAGGGAGATCAGTGACACTCACCCAAAGAACAGTCATGCACCAGGCACTCTTGGACAAGTTGCTTTAGGCCAACCTGGATATAGCACCAAGGCCGTTTCTGGTGATCTGGGTTTCTGGCAACACAGAGGGGGTAAGGAATGTCATTCCAGCCTTTCCTGCCTCCTCCTCTCCAGGGGAACACTCAACCAGAGAATTTGCTCTTCCCGTATCATGGCCAGCACTTGAGAGCCAAGGGAAATGCTAACAAAGTTCTTATGAATCTATAGTGTGGGCTCCTGGTTCTTGCTGTCACCGCCTCACCTGCAGTAATTGTGTTTCCCCAGGCCTAGCTGAAGAGCATCAGGTCTGTGTGCATGGTATGTTTTCTGAAGGACAGAGGCAGAGTTCCAGGCCAGGCAGGGACGGCCCATAGTGTCCGTGTTGGCCTTCCCTCGGTACGAGTAACCGTTTCCTTGGTAGCAGGTTTTTGAAGTATCTACAGAATGATGCGAAGATTAGAGAGTATTAGAGGGAAAAGTTCAGATGGATGTAGTTGAGATCCTGCCTGGCCTCACATTATTTCAGATCTGCCAGACAACATTGGAAGGGTCTCCTGACCATTCTCACCTCAAATTTGCGCAATCACTACTTTAGGAGCCAAAGTGTGTGTGTAAGTTCGTTTATATCAAATAGGGATGAAAATGGCCCAACTCCGAATTCCTGCTTGCTCTTGCATCCCATCCATCTACCCAACTATCATCAAAATCTTTGATGTTCCCACCATCCAGCTAGAGTGAGGATCCCATACCTATCTCACAGTATTCTCCTTGGAATTTTCTTGGGCAGTTGCATCGCTGAATGTTGGAGAAATACTTGTAGGATATACAGGTTCCTCCATTCAGACAGCCACAGTTTGCTGGAAAGCACAAAGGTAGGGTAAACAAGGAGTGTGGGGTGGCAAGAGGGGAACCAGCCCTGCAGCAGGAACACGGAAGGGCTGTTTCCCTGAGGCTTTCCCACATGTCTGTGCAGCCAACGATTGTGCAAGGGGTGGATACTCACATGTACCAGACCCTCGATGTAAGCTGGCCTAGAAAAAATGGAGAGGGGAGAGGGACCGATCACCAAAGGTTTAATGCCGCTGGAATTCTAGGCTGACGAGAAACTAGTCTAATTCCAAAACCCACTTTTCCCTCCAGTTCCCTCTTTCTCCACGCTGTCTATCCCTCAAATGAAACATCATAGGTTTCCAGCAAGGAGAAATGAATTGACTTAAGCAAGCTTCCCATGCCAGGTGCTGCGTGCAGGCTGGGGCAGCCTCCCTTAAGGACCACAAATGCAAATCCCTTTGGGTCTGTCGCTCTGGAACGCAAACACACCTCCCCCCAGCTGTCCCATTTCCCCAGGAGGGACTGGCCCTGCTGTAAAATGGAATTCGGATTAACTCCAGCTCCCTTTACAGTCCTTTCTTTCCCCTGAGCTGTTCAAAGGTCCTGCAAGTCCCCTGCCGCCACCAGAATTCAAAGAAGGGAGACCGCTCACTGCGGAGACGCAAACGAGCAGAGCGCCGAGCAGCAGGCATGCCAGCTGGACTCTCATGGTGGTGAGGTTAGGTAATTCAACAATGGTTCTGCAAAGGAAGAAGTCAGGGTAAGAAGCGGAGGGGCGAGAAGTTGGCCCGTGGGTCACTGCAGTGCAGAGAAGGGCCGCGGTCTACAGGCTTCTTGGCCCGAATCTCTCTTCTCTGGGGATTCTTGAAAGGCGCACACGCCGAGGCTCAGACAGCAGGGGAAGACTCGGAGCAGCCCCCGGAGCTACCCATCGGCAGGGGAAGGGCAGCGCGCCGGGGCCTGCACTCACCCGCAGCGGCAGTGGTGGCGACCAGAGGGCTGCGAAACTAAGAGCTCTGAGGATGGGGAGGTACACGGCCGAACTCCTGGGCTCAGGTCTCTCACGCTGAGCTGCCCACCGCGGAACCCGTTCTATATCAGAACCCGCCCCCTCCCTGGCCCCGCCTCAGTCCCATTGCCGGTCCACTCCCTTCCCCTCTCTTCCCGCGTCCTGTGCACCGGCACTTGGACCCAGTGTGCTTCCGCAACCCAGACCGAGGGTGGGGACAGCGCGGCCCCCGGTAGTGGGCGGAGAAGCTCTGGCAGGAGGAACCGAGGGGCATCTAAATTCTCTGCCCTCTTCCCATTCACCTGACCCTGGGCCCCGCCCCAGTGCCAGGGAGCTCTAAATTACCGGGAAGAGTGGACAGTCGGAGACTAGGACCCACAGCCTCCTCCAGGGTCCCCTAGTTCTGTGCTGCTCTAACGTCTCCCCTCTTGGCCTCCTGGGTATAGGAGAATAGCCCGCAGCTCAAAGTAACAGTGAAGTCTCTTTCTCAAAGTGAAAATGCACGTTACCAACGCCTGCAAAGACATGCATGTGTGCGCGTGTATACACACACAGACACACACACACACACAGACATACACAAACAAGATCTGCCTCTGTAGAATGCCTGCACCCCAAATACCACCGCCATCGGTTAAGACAAAGCTGAGTTTTCTGCTTTCCGCCATAAGGAAGTTTGGTAATGTCTCAAAAGGCAAAGTCAGGTTTTATTACAAATTTCAAGTTGGCCTAAGACTGATCTTTGAAAATAAGGGCTTGACCGTTGTTGTTGTAAGTGCCATCAATACACTTTCCACTCATAGTGACCTTGTACAGGGTTTCCTGGGAGCAGCTGGTGGGTTTGAACTGCCAACCTTGTGGTTCGCAAACAAGTCTTGCAATGACGCCTCAAGTCCAAGGGTTTGATTAGGATTGGATAAAGATCCTGATATATTATTGTAGGGTTGTTGTTGTGTTGTTGTTAAGGGCTGTTGAGTCGGATCCAACCCATAGTGACCCTGTAGAGGGTTTCCAAGGAGCAGGTGGTGAGTTTGAACCACTAACTTTGTGGTTCAAACCGACCTTGCAGTCCACAGTGCAACACCAGGACTGTAGGGTTAGTGGGAACAAAGTCTTAAGGCACAAACTGTTGATGTTTTTTCTACTGAAGAATTCATTGGTGGGGCATTCATAAAGTTCCTATAATGAACAGCCAACTTACTTACCTAGGAATTGAAAAATAAAGAGAGGGCAATAGTAAATTCTTACTGATGTGGACAGCAAACCGCTGAGCTATCAAGTTGGGAGACTCAACGACCCTGTATAGGGTTTCCAAGGAACAGCTGGTAGGTTTGAACTTCTGACCTCTTCATACAGTCTTGTTTTTATTAAAATAAAAAGACTAGCTTATCAAATAAAATTAATTTTTTGAAAAGGTAAAGTATATGTAAATGACTCCGCTCACACTTCCTCAGTGTGTATGAGCTTGTGTGTGTACAGACACATGCACATACAAACACACATGGAGCACAGTTGAAGATGCTAGCTCTGAGGTCCAGACACCCTTCTGCCCTGTCCCTTTCTCTAGCATCAGTGTGAGAAACAGTGTTTTTGTGTGCCCCCTGAGCTGCCACAGGCCCAGCAGATACTAAATCAGTGGTGCTCAGAGCCTCACCATTTCCTTGAGAAGACTGTGCATACTTTGTTTGGATTTGTGAGCACATTATTTGTAAATAAATGTCATCAAATGCAAACAGAGATGTTAGAGCCTGAAGACTTAACCCGAAACTCCTCAGTTATCAGGAAATTCCCAGAGGGCAGTCGTGATTCACAGCCCTGCTCCAGCGGGCTCCCATGACTCCGAATTACTTGGCTGGAGGCTGTCATGCTGATTCTCGAGAGCAGGATGACCTCATTTCCTCCTGGACAAAGGCTTGGACGGAGACCGTTATGGTACACAACACCCCTCTGCCCTCACTTCCTTCCACAGTTGGCCTCTTCACCTGGTTGACCATCCCTAGTGCCCCCAACCCTCTGAGGTTCACTGAAGTCTTTTTGTCCATCTTTTGCTGCACATTCATTCTATGAAAGACAGCACTTCTGTGAGGACAGAGACTACATCTTAAATATCTTTGTCTATCAGCATTGTTCACTTAATGCTTTATTATGGACAAATCTTGAATGAATGGCAACCTGAAGAAAGCTCCCTCTTTTTTTTCTTGCCATAAAGAAGTGCTGTTGTTACGTGCCAGCAAGTGGGTTCCGACTCATAACGGCCCTGGATAGGGTTTCCAAGGAGCAGCTGGTGGGTTTGAACTGCCAACCTTATGGTTCTCAGTCCAGTGCTGATTCTAGAGCGCCACACCAGGAGTCCATAAAGAATAATACCTGCATTATTTTTGTCTTGTGCTAAAAAGCTCTCTGATATAAACCAATCCTCTTTCAACTTATAACTAATTTATGGTATAGCCCAGGATTGTAATTCCCATTTTGCAGATCCAGAAAATGAAGTGGACAGAAGATAAATAATGGATGAGTGAAGAAGCCGGAACAAGAATACAGATCCGATCCTTGTTCCTGGGCTCTATAACAAAAGGTATGCAAGACAGAATGTTGTGGAAAGAAGGGCCAGGTGATGTAAGACATTGCAGCTAAGAGGAACCCTCCTGCTAACTACAGAGACCTCCTTCCAGACACTTCTTGAGCTATGAACTCCCAGGAAGTCTTCACTGTTATATGAGTGAGTGTTCTGCTAGAGTTGTAGAAACTGTATTGATGATCTAATATCTGAAATTTCTGTGAAGTGTAAAAATATAGGAACCAAGTGGGTTTGATTTTATCCTGTTCCTAACTCCCAAAGCAAAGTCACCAGCCCTTGCTTCTGGGGTTCAAGAGTCCAGACCTCCTGAGTCACATGTGGCAACAGAGACTAATGGAGGGGTCCCCTTTTCCAGAAGCTGCTCAAAAAACGGCAGGCAAATGCTAGGTTTACGGAAAGACCAGGGTGTCTGAACCTGGCACTGAGACTGTGTCCAGGAAAACTGGGTCCCTGAAGGGACCAGCAAAAAGGAAAGAGAAATTCATGCCAAGTCACATGATGTGTTCTTTAGTTGATCTACTAGGAGTGCTCAGCATGGTATTGCAGAAAGACCCCAGCATCGGTCCTTTAGACTGTTACATTCAAAATGTATAACCTCAGACCAGTGGAGTCACTAGGAAGCTACTGGGGGTGCAGACTGTACCAGGTGACAGTGTCAGAGGAGTGACACCAAAATGACTGTCTATAAAATTTGGGGCAGAAATGTATAATTTTTAATAAAAATATACTTGCAGTTAGGTATAACAGCAAAAACATTTTTTGTAAGCTCAGTTTACATTTATTAATATACCTACAAGACTAAAAAGGAACTCTGGTAGCATAGTGGTTATGAATCGGGCTGCAAACCTCAGGATCAGCAGTTCGAAACTACCAGCTGTTACGTAGGAGAAAGATGAGGTTTTCTGCTCCTGTAAAGATTTATAGCCTCGTAAACCCTGTCCAGGGTTGCTATAAGTAAGAACCAACTCCACAGCACATAACAACAACAACAAGGCTAAAAGTCTATGTTAATTTACTTTTTGAACCTTCTAATGTTCTCTGATCAGAACTCTTCTTATTACACAATTTCAACAACACTATGACTCCTGTGGTTTTTGTCTGCACACGCTGCTACAAGCACATGTGCTGTGTTTTTAAGTCATTGATTTTGTCAAATCTTCTGGTGTTTTAGCTACAGTAGTGTGGTAAGTAGTATTTCTAAGCCTGTATCAATAACCTTTAGAGAATGAAGTAGTAAATTAAGGAAAATGAGAAGTTTTTTTTGAAAAGTCCTCTGCTCTGTTACTGATAATATAATGTTGTAATTCATTGAAGAGAGATTTTTCAAAACACTTTTGTTGTTAACATTCATATAGTCTAAGAAATACTGTGTTTAAGCAATTTACAACTACATTTATCACATATTACTCAATAATTGGAGTCCTGGTGTGGCACTGTGGGTTAATGCACCAGACTGAAAAGCCATTTGAACTGCAAGGTCGGTGGTTCAAGTTCACCAGCTGCTCCTTGGAAACCCTGTACAGGGTCGTTATGGGTCGGAACCGACTCAACGGCACTTAACAACAACTCTATAATTTAAATGGATGTAAACATACACAAACAGACATGAGCTCGGATTGGTGACCACATGGATCACCAAAAAGGGGAAGTGAGGGGAAAACAGCAATGAGTCTACAAACTAAGCCCTACAACATTCAATAGACTTCTGTGAACCCGGGTGGAGACCTGGTTGGCCAGCAGTGTGGCAAGACCTGAGGACTCTTGGGCCCAGAGTCAGTGACATAGCCACAGAGGACTAGAGTGGAGAGTGAAGCGTCCAGCTGATAAGAAGAGAGGGCATATGCATAAGAACACCCACATTTGCAGATAATATCCACTTGACCTGGCTTCAATGGCTGGATGAACAGAGCTCAAACAGAAGAAGAAAGAAGAGGAAAAAAAGAGTAACCTGATACAATTTGATGAACTTGACCTACACCTATGGATGCAGTAGCTCAAAAGAGGGAACAAATCTTTATAGCAAGGATTATTCCCACCCCCTTGGTACACAGGGTATACAGGGATGGGCAACTTGGACACTGGCTACCCAAAATGGGGGAGGGGGCTACAAAGGCAAGAAGTG